CTTTAACCCCTCAGTGATCCAGGGCATCTGCTGTTGTTTCCTGAATCATTACTGACACACCTCTGACTCCAGGAGGATGACGCTGCGAGTCGATCTTTTTCTTCACATGTAAACATCATATCATGCAGGCAAGCAATGCAACACCAGCCAATTGGGAAGGGCATCCAGAATACACTGGCACATGACACCATACTGCATTACACAATTCCAAAGAACAGCTCTCAAGATGCACTTTAGTAACACACATGCACAGAAATAAGCACAGATGAAACAAGGTCTCATATTAAAGGAGAACTCTCATTTGAGCGCACATGGATAAATTCATTACGTTTCTGAGGAAATCACAAATTCACTTGGGGCATGTTTGCCCATCACTTAATTCGTCTCCAGAGCAACAAGGAGTTAGCAAAAGTGGTCTGAAATCACACTATAGTCTGCTCCAATATGTTGAATTGGGGGTGAAGAATAAACAGCAGAAAATAAGTGCATTTAAAAAGCAACAACAAAGCATATTTTCTAACTTCAGTACTTGTCATAATTTGCAAGCAACTTTGGTAACGCAACAAGTGATATATATAAATGATTGTAAACCACCCAGACAGCTTTGATTGTTGGGCGTTATAGACTTTAAATAAAGGTATCAGCTATACCAGATTATACATTTTGTCACAGTAACATGACTGTACTAACACACACATAAGTCACATAACTAGATCAGTTGGACCTTCTGCCCACAGCAGCATTCAGAACTACTGTTCAAATATGGTACTAACTTGCACTCTCACCAAAGTGGGTGGTAGCAAATCAAACACTGGTTTGAAAAGAAAGGTCAGAAATACTGATTTAAAGTTATGGAGATCCAGAAAAAGTGAGTGCACTTGCATTCATCACTGCATATAGAATAGCACTAAAGCTTTATTGAAGGCATAGCAAAAGATGCGACAAATATGAAAGAGGGCAGCAAAAATGTATTTCGATAATTTACACACTGCACACTGTTTTGAAAAAGACCCACACATGTTAGCGTACATCCTTCAAAAATACAAAACAAACCCCTTGTTACAAACCCTATTTAAAACATTGAAATAATGAGTATTTGCATAGGATACAGGGCAAGCACTGGTCAATTGTTAGCCTCCAACAAAGCAATCCTATGGTTGTTAAGGAAGCAATCTGAAGTCAGAGTTTTCTGGAAAAAAAACAGACAAAGAGGAGGAACAGAGACTACCTCCATCTCTGTGTCCTCCCTGGTGGCATTCCACTAGACGCCCTTTTCAGAAAGCCGGAAGACTTCAGGGCCCTGTGCATCCATGGCACCTGCTACTCCATGCTCTTCTCTACCTCCACTCAGGATCAGAGTGCTGGTCTTGGGTGAGGAGGGCACTGTGAGGAACAGGGAAATTCCTGTTTGGCGTTCCCCTCCCAAGGCCGCAGCACTTCCTATGGCTTCAGAAGGGGAACTCCACAATAGCCTGTGATCTCTAGCAGGGGAAACAGCAGGATTGCTCTCTAAGTCACAGTTGGAATCACTCAGAACTCCCCAGAGCATGGTTCTGATAATGCAAAGGCAATTTGCCTGGCAGCATTTACTCATGTCCATGGCAAAAGCACAGGAGGGAGAGGTAAGAAGCAGGGCCATAAGAGCCCATTCTAAGCTTTGAGGGCTAATCTAGAGAACAGCTAAGCCACCATCTGTCATTTTATGGGGGCGCGCCAGCCAAGGAAGAGAAGAGCAGCCCAAGGGCCCATCAGGTCTAGCAAGGGTGTCTTCAGAGCTGCGTGAAGCTATGCTATGCCATCACCACTAACAATGGTAATAGTATAGGCTGAATCAACCTTTCCATCCTGATTGTGGATAAAATCTCACCAGACAAACAGAGAACTGCAAGGTGCCAATGGAGGGATGCCCAGGTGCACAAGTACACTTGCAGAAGTCCGGAAGCTACCCAGCTGATCCCCAGGAGAGACCATTGAGCCAAAGGTTGGGATATGCCAATGGTGACTTGGTTGGCTTTATCACTGGTCACAGAGGAGCTGGCACTTTCCCTGTCAACTGCCTGGACTTACTTATTGACCTAGACCAGGGTCCTCAAACTTTCTGAATAAGGGGCCAGTTGAAAGGTGCCAGCGATGGGTGCGGGCTGCCAAGGTGCACAGAGAGCATTTTCTCCCAATGAGTCCAAAACTATCTCCTGGGCCAGCTTGCTTGCAAGGCAATCCTTTTCTCCGAGCGAGTCCAAACTGATCTCCTTGCGAGCAAGCTGGCACCTCACCAGGCACATGCTTGTGCATGTGTGGCAAGCTATGGCGGGCTGGATAACTGGCCATGGCAGGCTGGATCCAGCCCACGGTCTGTAGTTTGAGGACCCATGGCCTAGACATTTGAGCAGCCCAAAGACAAAAACTATGCAGCATCTTCACACAGACCCAGAGAGATCCAGAAGCATCCTGTTGCTAGGGGAGTCTGAACGAAGAAACATTCTGGATTTCAGCAAAGCAGAAAATAAACCATTTCTGGCAGGCAGTGAGAGAAGCAGGGGAGGGGGAAATAATCCATTCCCCATGCAGGATCTACTTTTGATACAGAGTGAGGGAGGCGGCTGGCAATCACATGCTGACACTTAAAAACACACATACACAGGCATTAGTCATCCACCAGGCAGAGCAACCCTACAGTCCGATTTGAAGGGATACATCAGCACAGGAGGAGTCTCTCTCTCTGGAAATTCCCCTAGGTCCAGTCAAATGAAATCTTTGTTTGACTCCCTAATAGAGTTTGCCACCAGACGCAAGGACTCCCCATTCAACAGACTGCAGAAAGCCTGCCTCAGACCCATCTCTGGCCAGAGGCACTGGTCATTTTAAAAAGAACATCCTAATCAAATGATTGCTTAAGGACTGAAGAAATGGACACAGGCAGTAAAATTTAAAACCAGGTCCCAAGGGAGGAGAACTGTGTGGCTCCAGCTACCCAGGTGAGTCATATTGTCATTCTCAATTATGGTCTTGGCTCTGAAACAAAGCAAGAAGCTCCTTCACGCTTTTTCCTAGGGTCATTCTGTTACTTTCAAATTGGCAGGATGGGGTTGAGGGGGAGGATAAGGATTAAAGGAAGAAGAGAAAACGCTGGACTGATTTGTGGCAGCATTAAAAACAATGAGCAGCAGTAAAAAAGCTCCCTGAAGGTGGCTCTGTCCAATGTAACTTTGTAAGGAGACAAGAAAACAAGCCAGCTCATTCACCTTCGGGAGGACAGAAGGAGACAGCAGGGAAACCTTTGGAAAAAGTACCAGAAAACCTGCCTGATTTTGGAGAATTGTTTTCCCACAGCAAGGTGACCAGAGAGGTGCGCAAACAAATGTTTCCTGTTGCTTGCCTGCCTGCGTGATCTCAACGAGACTAATAAAACAGTGGTTTGAAGCTGATCAGCATGTGACACTCACACCTGTGCTACCCTACAGTTCTCTTTCCACAGAAACATTCTCTCCCTTTTCAAGCACACCAACTACCATCCCAAGAAGGTGGACAAAGCAGCTGACCTGGGAGGAGGCGCACCTCTCCTGCTGCCTAGTACAGACACTTATTTGGCTTGACAAAGTGTCTGATGGAAGTCCAGTCATCTCTTATACCAAAAACTACTTCTGTAGCAAAAACACAATCAAGGGTTCTCCGAAGGGAACTCTAGTCCACAAAAGCTTATGCCATAGCAAGTTGGTCAGCTTCAGGAAGCCACAAATCATTGGTGTTTCTACTGCAACTGACTCAACATGGCTACCTTTCTGAAAAATGAAACAAAGTGGAAAATGAACTTGTCCAACTCAGTCTGTGCTGAGTCCTTTCCAACAGCCTGGCACACATTCTTTACAAATCCACCTTGTATTTTGGGATAAGAATCCAGCAGTCCATATAGCAGACAGTGATTAGTCAGTTTTCCTTTCAGGGGATAGCCAAGCCTCTTTCAGGATATTGCTCGTGCAGGTCTAAGACTTCAGGATATATTCTGTTTCCTGTCTTGCTTTATAACAATATGTGTTGCATTAGAATTTTAATAGTAAGTCACACCTCAGCCTAAAGATGAGGCAGATTAGAAATTAAAATACATCAGATTCAACCACACCAGATCTGTTCCATTCTGCCTGTTAGAAGCTGTAACAGAGTTGATCAAGTCCTATAAACATGGGGAGTGTTAGTCCTTTCCTAGATCAGGAAATTGCACCTGCGAGAAACAACTTGTATCAGGCCACAATGAAGTTGACACAAGGCACAAATCTATAGCTTATAACCTATAGACTGCAGCATTTTACAGCAGTAGCTTAGCAGACTATTAAAAACACTTTAAACTTGAGCCAGGTTAAGTCCTCTCTCTCGAACACAAGGGAATCATGAGCTAGAATTCCCACCAGACATTGGTGGCCTGGCTAAAAACAAGGTCTCTGAGCATATCTGGAATGTCTTTCCTTCTGCAACTTGTAACCACATCCAATCACACACTCATTAGGCCGTGTGAGAGAGAATCTCAGGTCAGAAGATGCTCTAATAGCATTTCTCTTGTTTGCAAATGAAGCACGAGCTCAACAGATCAGACCCTGCGAGCAAGTTTGCAAGGATGTGAAAGCCCCTCCGCAATCGATCGAAAGTCACTCTTTATCATAAACCGGGATGAGAAGGTGAGGGGGCTTCAGGTCGAGCAGCCAGTCCTCATCGCTCCATCTCAGGTGGAGGAGGCGGCTCAAGTTCGTCCCAGACCCGCACAAACTGCACCAGAAGCTCACAAGCGGACAACCTGCGGCGTAGAGAGGCCGGGCAGTCTCCCTGACTCAGGAGAACGGCCGGTCCTCCGCACAGAACAAAACAACGCGGAAAAAAGCGAGCATTGCAGAAGGGCCCCCCTCCCCTCCACCTCATCCCATCCCGAGGACCTTCCCGAACTGCTCAAGGAGCCCCCTAACCGCTTCCCTGAAACCACACCAACCAGCCGCTCTTTCGCGGGTTTCCCTTACCTTGTCTGACGGCTTTGAAAACAATCGGGTCCTTACAGCTCCGGATAACTCCCAGCACGTCGTAAAGGGGCAAGCCCGACACTCGGATGCCCTGCACTTCCAACAAAAGCTCCCCTTCGCCGAGTTTCCCGTCGCCGCCGCTGCCCGGCGCTGCCTCCCCTTCGCTGTCCGTCGCCGCCGCTGTCGCCCCGACGTAAGGAAACTCTCCGTATTCCGCTCCCCCCAGGATGGTGACCCCAAGCTGGCCCTGAGCGTTGCGGCTCACCGTGCACTGATGCACCTTGGTGGTCCAGTGGTTCTTCTTTTGGATCACTTTCGACATGGCGACTTCAAAGTTGCCGCTGCTTTTACAGTATTTATTTAGTTATATACAAATACCGGGTTGGGGGGAAGGGGAGAGGAACCGAAAAGCGCGGACGCAGAAACACACCCCCACCGCCGGTTGCCGCAAGCGAGGGAGGAAGGCAGCCCGCCGGGGCATCGAACGAGCCTTCCCCAGGCGCTCCCTGCAACTTTCCAGCCGCCCCACTCAAGCCATCATCGAGCAAACTTTGCCCGCTCGCCGCCCGCAGCCTCCTCCGGCGACGCCGCGAGCGCGGTTCCCATCGCCCCCTTCCGCAAATCCGCCAGCCCCGCTCGGATCGCTCCACGAGAGCCGCCTGGACGTCCTGCCGCTTCCCAGGGCTCCCCTCCTCTCCCTCGCCTTCCGCGGATTTTGCTCCCTCTCTGGCAGAGTAATCCTCGCCCTCCTCTTCCTTCTCCTCCTCCGCAGGCGCTTTCCCCGTGTAGTTTCTCCGTCCGGAGCTTCAGTCCCACCTGGTGCCGCGCAAGCCCGCTCCTCCGCTCTTTTCCGCCACTTTCCCCCCGGCGCCCGCGTCCCTCAGTTTGGCTTCAAGCGCCCGCGGCTCCTTTAAGCAGATACAAAGACGCCGCTTGTTTTGTTACATCGCGCTCCTGTCGGTTCCACCAAGACCAAGCAAAGCGAGCGAGAGCAGCGATAGGAACGGCTGGCGCAGGCGCCCGGGCGACACCCCTCCCCTCCTCCCTCACCCCTCCCCTCGGAGAAAAGCTGGAGTCCGCTCTTCTAGGCATGTGCGCGCGTCTCGGCTCCATGTGTGCACAGAAGCGCTGGCGGGGAATGAAGCCGCTGCCCTTAAGGCAGAATGCCCATAAGCAGCAGCCGGACCAGAAACTAGGCTGGCCAGATGTTTCTTATTTGTGAAGGGCCTCCCCTTTGTTTGCAGAGGCTGGCCCTTGTTCTAGACGACCACAATACCATACAGCTTAAAGGTTGCCTCAGAATATATTGCAGCCAATGCGTGCACCTTTTCCGCGTTCCTCTGAAGTTGCACTTCTTTAGATTTAAGCCACTGGAGCGGCAATCCTATGCGCCCTTACTTAGTTTCATTCAACACAAAGGGGCAGGCAGCTGAGGACACATGCACAAAATTGTGCCTTAGTCATAGTATAGGGCTCAGTAAATTTACTAATTAATTAGCGTCATTGGTAACATTGCAGCCAAAGTTAAAAGGCCTAAGCTAAAAAGTTTTTGGGAATGTAGTACACAAAAAAGTTCATTATGTTAGCATGTGCACCAAACTGGAAAGGGACACTGATGGTTCTGCAATGGCATTTGTAAGAATGAGGAACGTGGGATTTTGTTCCTGTATGAGCCAATGGCTGAACTCTAATAATAATGCTTGCAGCCCAATTTATGAAATACCAGCATGCATACCTACACACACCTGTCCAATTAGATTATCAGGGTTCATAAATCGAGGGAGCAACAGTCAACAATTGTGGGGAAGGTATGGGCAAAAGCCTCGATTGAGGCCCACTCTGTAGGTAAAATGGATGCATGCAGAGTCCTGGTCCAGTAATCACATTTGACATCATACTTGACAAAATTCCTAGACCAAAAAGGTGATTTCAAGGGGAAAGCCTCCTTCCACATCATTATCATTACTATCATAATATCACATTGATATAAAACAGGAATAGGAACATGTGGTCCTTCCATTGTTACTGGACTGCCACTTCCTCCAGCCTTAGATAGTAGAGCAAAAGGTTCACACACTTCCCATCCCTGCCATAAAATAGACTTCTCTTCATGACGGCATCAGGCACATGTGTTACATGGCTTGGATGCTGATGCACAATGCAATGCAAAATATTAATAGTGGAAATTAACTACTTAATCTTATCTGTTTCGGCTGAGGGGAGAGAAAATTCAAGTTGGCATTTGTTTTCATCATCCACAGTTTTATTTATTTAGTCATTCATTTATCCAAGTATCCTGAGAATCTCTTGGACTTCTTTTTCTGCTTTTATTCTATTAAAGAAAACAAACTTGGTTTCTTGCATCTTCCAACTGAAAGGGCTTTTTTGATAGTGCCTTGTGAAATAAGAAATGTAAGAGATGGTCTAAGCAGGATTTTCATTTCATTTGTGGGTAGGTAGTTTAGCACTTGTTTGGTCTATTGAAGGTCTCAGGTTCAGGTCCAGCCCCTCAAATATGAGCCCCCACCCCATGGCTCACGCCCAGTACAGAAGGTCCCAGGTCCAAGCCCAGCTCACAAAATGCAGGTTCAGAATTTGGGGGCTCAATGACACTCTAATGCCACACTCTCCAACCCCAACAGTAGTGATGCTGCAGCAGTCCAACCTTATTCTGTTCCTTGCACTCACCCAAGTGTTTCCCCAGGTGTAAATGTGGAGCTATAATCAGCCAGCTGCTTGGTTCCCCACTAGGTAGTCAGACTACATCCTGGACCCACAATAAAGTAGGAGCATAAGAAGTGCCACACTGGATCAAACCAAGGGTTCATCTTAGTCCAGTGTTCACAAATTGGCCAACCAGCTACCTGTGGGAAACCCACAAGGAGAAGGATTAGGGTGGGGCATCCGCATCACTGTTGGGTAAGCCCATGGGCATGCAAAAAAAGGGGAGGGATGGCCTGTCCCTCTGGTTTGTGTGTGGGCTTACCCAGCAGTGGTGGAGCGCTGGAAGTGTGTGAAATGCAGAGGGAAGGCTGTGGGCTGCAGAAGTTCCACTACTAGGGGCAGGGAGTGACACCAGGCACAAGGGAGCAGGAGAGGCGGCAGCATCAGTGTGCCAAGCACTGAGGCCAGGCCTGTCCAGATCCATTGCCAGGAGAGATACAAGACGGCTGCCCAACATCCCCGAGAGCTGTTGCAAATAACCTTAAAAGGAAAAGGCTTTCATACAGCCTGAAGTGCCTGATTCTGCCTAAACTTGGAAGTGAAGCAGGGTTAGGGCTGAAATCTGGATGGGTGACTTAAATGTTGTGGAGAGCCCAGAAACTTCAGTTACAGATCATACAGAAATGTAATTAATAATAATTTCTACCCACCTTTCCACAGTTCAAGGAAACTTACAATATATTAGAGCTCTCCGAAGAATCACAGTCCATAAAATCAGTACCAGATTATTTTGGTATGGGGTATCCGAGCTCTAATGAGCTCCTTGTCCTTTTTCATGTCCTCTTATTTTACTCAAAATACATTCTGAGTAAAATAAAATATCCTCAGTGTGCTATATGGTCAGCTCAACACACCAGAGTGGCAGTGAGTAATTCTTCCTTCAGTGTGTTCAGCTTTTCTGAGATTTCATTGCAGGACTTCTCCTAGAAAGGAAAACTGCCTTTTAGTTCTGGGAGATTTGGAGTTTGCAAAGCCACTCACCCAACTTGGGAGGAGAGGCGTGGGGTGAGGGAGGGGGAGGGGGCAATGATGCTGCCACCCCTTCCTGCATCCCAGAAAAAGTTGTGGTAGAAAATGGTTTGGGAAAGGAAACCCTTGCTGAGCCCACCCAATCCCAGCTATGGGCTTTTGTCCAGATCTTGTTTTGCTTCTTCTCTTTTAAAATGCATCTGAGATGTAATTGGCACATGTTTACCCATTCATTATTTATTGATTTATTCTTTAGAGGCCAAGTGGTGGTTAATAACATTACAAAATGATGGCCCCCGCAAGACAAGGCTTAACAAACGGTCCTTTTGTAGCAACTGACTGCTCTTCCCAACCCCCTGGTTTTGGCTTAGTGTGTGCATGTACATACATGCTCATATGTCCAAAAACATGTACAACTAGAATCAGAAGCAAGCATCTAAAAACTGATACTGTAAACTAGCCTTCTCCTGAAAGTCTAGAATGTCCATACATGAACTAGAAGCAAGAAAAATCTCTCATTCCATCACTTGGCCAAGGGACCAGAAGGGGGAACCTTGTGTTTAGATGCTTCGGTGCAATTCTTGATACACTTAGGGTACCACCTATGCCATCTAGATGCACATTCCAAATTCAGAGCTGGAACTCAGACCTTGTTATGCCTTTCCTCACTGACAGAGTGGTTCTTTCTTGGCAGCTCCAAGGTTGCAAGACCAACCCCTGAGCTGCTGCTGCTGCCTGAGAGTGAGGGAAGAGGGGAGGGGCAGAGCTTTGCTGCAATTCAGTGTATTCCAGTGGTGTCTCACAATCAGGTGCAAAACACTTAGACAGCTAAGTGTTTTGGTGGGAAGAAGGAATACCAGGGCAATCTTAGCCTCCATGCTTCTTTTGCTCTCCATGGAGTACCTGTAATCCTCCAACTTCCAACAACTGGATTGGATGGGACTGCCCCTTATTGCATAGTGATAGAGCCTTAGGGAAACTTAGTTTTATGTGGCCATCGGGATTTCCTGATAGGGATAGGGAGAAGGGGCAGATCAGGCCATCAGACACACCAACTGGCTATCACAATCACTGGCAGTGCAATACTGTGTCATCTTTCATTTCCTCTGTTTTTAGAACATAATGAGAAAGGTGGGGGGTCAAAGAGCATGGAATCCTTTAGACATTACTCATTAAAATTTGATAGTTTGTACCCAAGCAGTACCTATAATTTTCTAGAAGGGAAAAGGTTCTGCCAAAATTATTATATAAGCAGGCATTGCAGATGGTCTTGACTGGGATGCTGAAGTCCTTTAATCTGCTGGTTTTGGGAGATGTAACATTCATGCTGAGGGAATCTTTCTGGGGTACCTCAGGATTTCATGGCTTCCATGGCAACCATTGAGCTGTCCTCACATGTTATTGGTCCATCACATGGAGCAGGCCATGATGTAGGCCTTTCCCCACCCCCAGCCCCAATAGGGACAGTGATGTAAATGTGGGAAAACTTTAATTCAGTTCCTTTGTCATGGCCAGATCACCACCTTCTGCTGCTTAGACTGATGGCAGCTTTTACCCTGCTAAGATGGTCTGCCACTGGAGGCTAATAAATCCAGATGGTTTCCTGAGGGCTTTAGGAGATTTTCCAGCTGATTTGGCTGGTGCTTCTATTGAAACTCAATCTGTCAAATGCAAAAATGACCCATCCAGTTGACACAGTTACTCCTGCTGACCCTCCATTGACAAAGTGCTTGGACAGATTCATGT